TAACTACAACTGTTCCAAAAATCTGTTATGATCATAAGGCAAAAAGCTATGCTAAATCTAAGTTAATATTGCTAAAACTGCACAAGTTGGCAAAGATTATAAGCTTTGGAATAGGAACAGTTTGCTTAGAAAGGAAAGGAAGTAAAAGCAACATCCTCCTCATAAAACTTCATAACCCACTGACAGAGATCAGATAATGCTTAGTAAGCTAACTTGAACAATAGGAGGGTCCCAAAGAAAGATCTCAGAACAAGAATTTTTAGCTTTGAAGGCTAACTTAATCTGCTAATCTAAACTGGTTTGCTCAGATAGGAAGTGAAACTGTCACAGATTCATAGAATGTGTCAAATTGGAAGGGAACCATAAGGATCATCGTTTAAGGCTCCCACAGATTTTGAAGTCCACATATTTAATTAAAACAAATAGCATCTCACATGGTAGACGATTTTGTAAGCTTTCACGCGGTATGAGGTACCATACGAGTTGTGCACTTGGAGTGATTACAGGCCCTTCCTATATTTGAAGTGATAAGCCTATGAGGGAAACCACCTATGCATTTTGAGAACTAACATTTCTCATTACAGACCTGACTACACACACTCCATGAAAAAGCCATCGTGGAGCCATGCTGAGCCTGAGGAACACCAACACTGTACCCTTCATACACGAAACTCCCGCAGAAACCCAGTGAGCATGTTTCAAAGGAGGCAGGAGTTCAAAGGGACTACATTAGTTGGACCCCATAAGTCAGGTATAAGCTACCAACCAATAAATTAAAGACATTTGCAAGAATACAGCAGTAATAACCCGATTTTGTAGACTAACAATCCAAAGCCAGGTTTGAACACAATGTGTTGAATTTTCACTTATCTGAAGACATTAATCAATCAAATACTTACGATGTCACAGTCTTTCTTTCCATCACGTTTGATCGGCTCATTCAGGTCCTCTTGACTACGGAAACTAAATTTCTCAATCGCTTCTGTGACTCCACGAAGAGAGCTGTAGATTTCATCAGAATTTAGGTTCTCCGTGTCATAATCCAGCATACTAAAGACCAAACGCAGACAAAATGTTACACATGAAACTGGAATCCGCTTTTGACTGTTAACAGAAACAATGCCAAGCCAGAGACAGATGATTTGGCATACCCTAACAGTGACTTGTAACAAAACATGGATACAATCAAAGCAGATTTTGGGTGAGCGTCCCCTCAAATGGGGCTAAATCTAGGGGAAGCTCCACTGAAATCAGTGGCATTACATCACTGTGAGGGGAAACCAGGTCCACTGTTTGTTACATTCCACAGCACTGAGTGTGCTAGCTTCTGTAAACCAAAAAAAACCTATCCCCAGCATGGTAATGGTGTTGTTTAAAAATGAAAATAAAGAAAAACAGGCACTATGAGAACTCAAAGGGTTGTGACAGCTGATGGAAATGAAATCAATGAAATTTACGTTTCATAATGTGTCAAATATATTCTATGAATGGATTCAAATATGACACATTTAAATGGAACGGAAAAAACATCTTGACGTAAACCTTAGTCTAACATGTCCCATTTTCACTTACAGAGTAGCATAACCAAAACCACTTGTATGATGCCTTGATAAAAGATGCATGTCAGTATTGAGCCTAAGTTCGAGAATTCTCTCACTCAAATATGATGCTTTCTTGCAGTCTGTCTGTTCCTCAGAAATTCCTCAGTAGCATGAAGCCACACAAGTTTTGGGATTCCTTGAGGAGTTATCCAAAATTAAGTTCCACAAAAAAATGCCTGGCATGTAAGGGCAGATGATATGAAAAGATGCAGCTAAGAAGAGAAGCTCCTACAAAAGCTGGAGAAAATGAAAAGGCATTACTGGCAGGGCTTTGCTCTAACTCGGAGAAGTTGAGTTTGCACAATGATCAGTTTTCCAAGAGAGATTTAATGAAGAGACACAGTAACTGAGAACAATTTCTCTGGGGGAGTCTCCAATCTTACTAGAGCCAGAAGCAAATAAACCAAAAGAATTCGAGACATTTACATCAAGTTGTTTGTCAATAAATGGCAAGAAGCGGCTTCCTACAGGGGTAGATTACTCTTTCTTAACAGCTGGGGAAGGATGACAGGATGGGTTTAGAGGAGGATGGCCAAACAAAGAGCTGTGCTCCTTTTCCACAAGAGAAACTCCCTATGAGATGGGTGGGGAAAAAAATAAAAACCGAAATCCCTTCTGAATCCTGGGTACACAGCTATTATTTTCTACAGAACTAAAAGTAGGATGTTAAATATCTAGAACCACTACTTTTTTATTTTCTGGAAGAAATTCAGGAACTTCAGAGAGAGGATAAGACTGGTGCTGCCCGACTCCTTTGGGATTAACACACTGAAAATAGCCATAATCCTTGGCTCCCCAGCAACGCGCTTACTCTACAATCACACAGGCATCAGCACCAAATATTCTGCCAGAGAATCCAAAGAACAACTCCCCAGCTTCCAACGTCTGTCAGGCCAGGAAGAAAAAGAAACTACATAAAGAACAGAAAAAGACCAGGAAACAAAAGCTCTTTATAAACCTACAGAGGTCAAAGTATTTAAGGCTTTTTAGGCAGCTGAATGACACTAACACACTGTGGTGGCAGTTTTTAGACTCTTCGTAAGTATCAGGCAAGGACAGGACAACCTCTGTTTCATGTGATCTTGAAAATATTAATGTTGAGCTCAAACACGTTTAATTCATAGATCTTAAGGGGTTCCTCATACAATACTTAACTGCAATGAAGCCACCATTCAAGAACGCATACACATGACTGTACTCATGTACCCATTCCAAGAGATGATGTGACTTACCAAAGGTCACATAATGAAATTCACGGAAAAATAACCGAGAAATAATCACAGATATACTGACATTAGATCTTCTGCTAAAATCATCACTTCTTTCTTCAGGAATTATTTTTGTCCTGTACTACTACCAAATACTAGAACAAAGTACAGACCCTGCAATGCTAAAGGACTAAGGCAACTTCTCAACGAAGAGTCACTGATCTGATGCATTTTTCAAAGCACAAAAACACATTTTAATAAAAATCTAAAGAATCCAGTGATTTCATATGTCAAGAGTAAGCCTCTGTAGGAGATCACATTATGGCTGTGTTCTACATGAATGAAAACTCTACATGTGAACACACACGTCTATTGGCAGTATGTGTGCTGGAATACTTCAGAGACAACACGATGAGAGGAATAAAAATAAAATGGAACTACACTCACCTTTCAGGAAAAAAAAGGCACAAAATGAAAACAAGAAATTATGACCCATGCAGAAGCTAGAGGAAAGTCACAGGATGAATAAGAAGTGAGTAGAGATGAGCAGAGTTTAAGGATGTCACAACATTATTTCCCATCTTCTGCTGCACTAAAACAATGCAGCTCTCTGCAAGTTTATCAAGACACAATTTGGCTGTTTTCCAGTCTGACATGAAATACAAGTTACTTCCATAAACTTCAGTTTCCAATCCAAACTATGCGTAAACAATCAATAGTTTAGCATGCTCAAGCAGTACACAGTAACCCACTTCCTTGCACTTTTAGGCTTTGGGCTGGAATACATGTCAAATTACTCCAAACCTCGGTGTCAGGTAATGAAAGGAAGAAAAAAATTCTCAACTAGTTTAACTCCAAAAATCAACTTGGATCTCTTCTACAGATATCTTAGTTTCCTAGAGCAGTCAGAATGCTGATTTAAATTTTAATTCTGCAGGTATTCACAAAAAAACAGACTACGAGATTCTATTTTCTCTCAGACATCACAGATTCAGAGATTTTGAGCCCTTAAAAAAACAATCTGTTTGCTTTTTTATCAGTTGTTTTTCATTAGGAACTACTTGCTTCAAGGAAAGACCACATATAGTCTTTCTTTGGGTAACAGGTGCATTTAAGTCAGGGAAACCCACATCTATAGAAAGTGAGGATATAAGCTTTAAAAAAAAAATCCAAGGAATTTAACATAGAGATCTGATAAATTAAATTTGTATTCAGAAGGTTTCTTTGATTAAAACTGGTACACAGCTTTAGTCCAGTATACTGATCAAAGATCTGTATGCAGATTTAAACAAAATGTGAGAGCACAGGAGGAAGAAGAGATGTCAAAATTAGGGATTGATAACCTCTAAATCTTATGGTAAGGACAATTTCAGTTTCAATACTACAGATTTTCAGGATGTTCCACTGTGCAAGCAGCTGGTAAAAATCACATATGCAAGCTTAATCCTCACTGTCCTATGTCCTACTACTGTAGATGTGAAATTACTACTGTATTTGCCTGTCTGAAAGTGCTCACGTGCTGGTTGCACAGTGTGGTCAAGTTGAAAGATCTTGCCCATGCTATTATAATGCAACCAGTGACTGCCAAAAGTGCTCAGCAACTGTGTTCTGCATTGGAAACCAACTGTGAAATGTGAGGAAGAGTCTGGAAAAATCCACTTTTTTCTGCACTTGCATGCCAACATCTTCCCCAAGCAGCAAGCAAGCAAGCGGCTGCCTGCCACCTCTGCTCTCTGACAGCTACCATCATCTCTTTTCCTTTTCCAACCAAAGCCTCTGCAAATCACTAGTCTCATTTGAATAAATCTCACAGTGTGAAAGGTAATAATACTGTGACACCTCAGACAAGTTGGTTTAACAGGTAGCTTGTTACCTGGGAGAGTAAGAGCGCCTGAAAGTCTTGTGGGAAGGAGCAGTGGGGATGGAGTTAGGCTGAGAAAGGGGAGGGGGGTGCTTCGACAGCCCGTCTGCACTCCAACCCCAGAACCGACTGCCGTGATCAGAGGAGAAATAAAAGAGAGAAAAAACAGAGAAAGGAGAGGGAAGAAAAAAAAAACTATAATCTGAGTGGCTTAGTGCTGTCATGCTGCCTTGGAGAGAGAGAGAAAAATTAATAGAAACAAAATTAAACAAGAATACTCCATTGAGCCCCATAAGTCATTGTTCTGGCCTTCATTATTAATTTCCACTTTCATTCCTAACAATGATACGGTTCACATAAAATAGTCCCTGCTTGTACTAACCACTAAATTTTACAAATGGATATAGCCTCTATAACCAATTCTTAAAATGCTCCAAGTGAATAATCCCTGATGACACATCTGTATTCAAACCTTAAGCAGGTATTTGCGAGAAGAGAGGAAAGTCGGAACTGATTGCTTTTATCAGACACCCAAAGGTAGTTTGTCAAGTCTGGCTCCTGGTGCCTCTATAAGAGCCTGCAGTCAGGCGCTACACAAACAGCAAACCTCTGCAGGGCTCGAGACCTGATCACATTTCACCAGATTCAAACTGACTCCCAGTACGCAGCAAGTGAAAGTCAGTCTAGAGTGTAAATGTATCATGTACATTGGGGACTTGGCCCAGGTCTCAGCAGACAAACCTGGAAAGACTGGATTACACCAGCCTGTAAGTCGATTCAGATCTCTCAAACTTCCACAAGCCCTTTCAAAATCGTCTTCTAAATGAGAACATAGATGCTTGAGCTGATGGAGTATTCAGGACCCTGCTTTGTTTCTATTAAGTACGCTGTCTTGGAAAGTCATATTTGCATATAACACAAGTGAAAGGTATTGCAAGATCAGAAGCGGCAAAAAAGGCAAGAACTGCTCCAGCGCAAACAGCAGCAAAGCCAGTTGAAAACTACTCTAAAAAGTGGTGTCAAGAAATTCACTCACTAACCAGCAACCAAAACTAACAGCTGTTACATGCAGCTATTATAGAAATACCCCAGACACCCAGGCTGCTGATCAGGTCTCACCTACCTGCAAATGGGCAACCAAACCAATGCAGGCTTGTCTTTATTGTGCAAGGTGGGTGGGTGGCTTATTCTAACTCTTTTTTTCCATGCCCTGTCTCACTCAACTTAATACTAAAACTGTCAGATTTTATTTTTAATAGTATTTTCTATCGTCAGTGACAAAACAAGCATGCAAACTTACACGGAGAAATAAAATCGTAAGCCTTTTATTTTTATGCACTTCCTCTAGGTATCTTTGAGGGACTAAATTTGGGGGTTTTTAATAATCTGAACTACAGACAGGTTTCGGGGCTACCAATAAAGGCAGAAACAGTAAGGTAAATCTATTAATCATTTGATATTCCTTCAAGTATTCCTACAGAATTCTAGGTGAAAATTCACAACCTGAATGTAACATTCGCGTTTACAGAAGTTCACTTCCCATTCAGAACAGTATTCATACACTGGAGGACTCCACAGCTTCGCATTTTCCTTTTTGTCATACTACATCATTTACTAAATCTCAGAAGATTTTCTCTGATCAACACAAACTCAAGCTGTTCATCTGAGCATTGCCCAGGAAACATTCTTTCTTCTCAGAAGTCTGTATTTTTGCCTATGATTTTCAGTCTTCCCAAGTGCCCTCTTCTGCTTTTCTTCTTCAGAAAACACGTCTTTCCTCCAGAACTCCTCTCCCCAGAAACTAAATCTGTGAAGGTTAAAAAGAGCTGGTACAAATGCCGAAGTAATTCACAGATGCAGTGGATATGTTCTAATGATCATGAATCAGAACTGAATGGAGCAAATGAAAGCAGAAGAAGAAAGGACTCTGCCCGAGGTCCTGAATTGATTTCAGCACATTACCCTTCTGAAGACACTAACACCAGGGGATACTTCAGCAGATGTTATCATCTGGGTAGGCAAATTAGCTGTTTGCATCAGCAAAGTCCAGTTCAGCCAAAACACTCAAAATCAATCCAGAGAGCTCAAGTACACATACACAAATACACACACACACACACACAAAAAATAAAAAAGTTACCTGAAATTCAGTTGTGATGGCAATAACATGGGAGAAGTAATGTGACCTAAGGGCAATGCCATACGTACACACTACAGAAAGTCCGTATCAATGAAGCCTTGCTGATTAACACTGAGGATATCATCCACAAACCATTAGTAATGTGGGGGAGCAGCTATGCTTAGCAGCATTTTTATATTCCTACAGAACCCAAACTATCACTTTTACACATATCCTAGCCCTGAAGACAAATACATCTCTAGATATGACTCCTCCAATCTGAGAATCAAGAAAAAAATTCAAAGGAAAGCATAATCTTCAAAACCAAAGCAGGCAGTAAGAACTGGAGCAAATCCTTCAACTGACTGCACTGAGGCTGCCTGCACAAGACACTGGCACGGACAAGGTAAGCAGGGCCACCACATGGAGCATCCCAGGAAGCAATGGGCATACACAACCTCGGTACAACCAAGTTGCTATCAGAACAACTTGGGTGTGCTCATTTTCCAAGTCTGTAGAGAGAAAAGTGACATTTTACTCTAGTGATGAATAGCAAATGACAAGCATCTGTAATGGAAACATGACACAGAGGTCTCTATACCAACAACTGCAATCCTGCAGTGTACCCTACTTCTCGTAACCTGTCAGTGCACCTTCCAAAGCCTTTTTTTCTGAAAGAAGGACAACCACGTGTACTCTTCAGAAACAGAGCTAAATTCTCCCTCATTCTGTAAGTCAGGACCATGCTCAAACTGTGCTACACAAGACATTTTCAAGAAGGATGCAGTCTAGCAGAGCATCGGAAGCTGCTGCCACCGATTTGCAGTATTTGTTACAGCCCTTCCTACAAATGGTAAAAATTACTGCTCAGAGGTCATTCACCAAAAATTTAGAACTTCCTCTCCCTAAATATTTTAAAGGGCTTTTACAGAAGCATCCACCTTCACCTATCACTGAAGAGTAACTTTTACACATCACTCTTGAATAACTAAATCCAGCAAGGAAGCGAGACACACTTTCTTGAAAAGACGCCTAAATTTTTGGATTAACATCTCCAAGAACACCAAAGAAAATTGAAGGAACGATTGTTTTTCTATAGGAAATTCCTGGCCCACTGCATCAGTGGCAGTTTTGGTCTTGACAACTTAATGGCAAAGGGCTCTGGAATAACATGTTCCCTTTAACTGCTCCTTGGAAACATCACATGGGAAAAAAAAACAAAAAACCCCTCCAGCTCCCAAACCCAAAATGCTAGAAAACAACAGCAACAACAAAGAATTACACTCACGCTGAATGATTTAATCAGTATTTTGATATGTACATCTTGACACCAAGAGGTGAGAAGAATGCAAAAAAAAAATAAAATTGAAAAGCAGTGAGTGATGTGGCAAAACACAGTTGTGTCCCAATGGCAAAACCCAAGATGCACGGTACAAGGCCATGGATTTATAAAATAAGTGTCACATGCAAACATGGTCAGCAAAGCTACAACATAACCAGAGACATATCTCAGTTTATAATTTCCCATGACAGAAATCAGCAGGGCAACAATGCTCAAACTAGTCAAAAAGGGACATTGGAATGATTCCCCTGAAACTCTACCACTTAATTTCTTAATGAAACCTTTGTTGAAAAAAATAATAGGCAACTCCACCTTGGCTTGCAAACTCTCAGTCTAGTTCTAGATTACAGCAGATTTATGGGTCACAAAAATTTATTTAAATATCCAAAATTTTCTCAGGAAACCCCGTGTGCTCCTCATATGCTGCTGGAATTAGTTTGACTACTTACTAAAGGCTAAAAGCCTGTATTTTTTCTGACACAGGGGAACTCGCATGCTTAAGCATCCCTCCAGACAGTGTTTACCAAGTCACAACAGGGTTGATCAACAGATTTTCCTGTCAATTACAACACTGGACCATGAACTGCAAGCCCTCACCCAACAATTTCCCTTCTGTCTCAACCATGGCAAAGGGGAGTGACCTCCTATGGAGAGGATAGGCTGACAAGAGCAACAGCTTTTAAGCTTTGCCAGCACGAATCAGAGCTTGTCAAAGGTAACAGCCTAATCCCTCCAATATTTTTGTGGCCCTGGGACATACTGTTTAAATTCCTATCTTCTCTGCTCTAAATTTCTGTGGTGCAAAACATGTACATTCCCAATAACCAAGCGTCCATGTTTGCTCAAAAAAATGTTTTGGAGTGGACCAATATGTTGTAGGGTAGCATCTGCAACTTCAGAAAAAACACCTGGTTGCAACAGACCTACTGTCCAAAGGATCAGGCCACTATTCTGCTGGTGAGCAGCCAGGAGTGATTTGAGAGGTATTCAGCACTGAAACAATCACCACCTCTGCTTGTTCTGCACCCTCACAAAGCATAAGAGAGGAACAGGAGATCCAGTACTTCTCTCAGCAGCACAAGGACTGTACTGCAGTCAGATCAATTACTGATCACAAGGGCACACCTAAAAAATAGACACAGTCTGAAACCCTTGACCTCAAAGTCATCATATACTTAATATTTGCAACCTCAACAAGACCTCATTTCTAATGCTGCCATTTAATATTACCTTTATTGAACCCACAAATGTGATTCTGGAGAAGGCCTAGTTATGAAAGAAAATTAATAATATAAGACATTAAGATTACGAAGATAACATGAGGACTGGAATACTACAGTCAATCACCAACCATGTATTATCATGTTCAAACCCTGTTCCTTTGGAGAAACCTGCTGTAAACTGTTGGTCTTGTTTTTGTTTTCAAAGTGAGTCATACTCTTCAAATGCACACTCAGTGTTGAAATATTTTCATATTTTGCAAGTGATTTAATTAGCCTGCCACATTACCTTGGAGACAGTCCACCATGGGAACAGTTGGTAGGAGAAGTCAAGGGGCTGGTTCTGCTGCTGGAGTGCCGGGAAGGAGTCCGACCAAGGGTATTGCTGGGGGAACCCTGGCACAGAAGCAGGAAGAAAGGGATTAACAACGCGTTGGAACGCATGGGCAGGAGTACACAACAACAACAACAGGTCCAAATACTGCCTTTGTTTGTGCTAGACAAGCTCAGCACAGTTTTGGTTCTGGCTCTCGACCTAAAAATCTGCATCCATGGTTCCTGTAATCATTAATATGTTCTTGAAGGTACTGCTCTGAGGATAAAGAAAGCACTTCTCTACAATCCACATCACCTGCAATTTTAACTATGCAACACCGACAGCCTGCAAATATTGCCAGAGAAATAGTTTACCGATCCACCAGGCTACCCAGCTTCTCAGACATGATTTGCCAGGCTCTAAAGCATGCAGATCATTACCCTGGGAATTCAGCAATTTAATTACGCAGCTATTTTCCACATTGTCTACAGCATTCTGATTGTGCTTGTTACATGCACAACTAAGCAATCTAACTTATATTTTTTTCCACTGGCCTGCACAATTATTTATACCACAGCAAAACGAGCAGAAATTGCTCCCAATTTTAACTCTCTTCACACAAAGTCAGAGGTACGGGAGAATCCAGTCCATTTGCCTGGAAGCCTAATGTGGCAGTTCTAGCTTGCACAAAGGTCTACTTGTCCCTGTAGAAGTGTGAAGATAGGAGGGTTCAAATTCCATCAAGTTTCACAAGATTTTCACATTAAAAAAGGCAAAAAATACCCTAATCCTTGCTGCTCTGAGGGAAAAAGAAGTTTAGAAGCACACTTAAATCCTCTACTAACGTATTCCTTCAGACAAATAAAAATATGTAAGAGTTTCATGTAAAACCACAACATAAGGTGATAGGTGTAGACTGCTGAGACCTTGTAGATCTCAAAGATATTACTGAGAAGCACTCTTTTCAAACAGTACTATTTTGTCTGTACTGGTTATGACAAAATTTAATTTAATTTAAAAATAACTGCATTTTTTGTTTTAATGGTCTCTTTAAAAGCAACATCAAACAGAAGCCTCTCTTGCCATATTGCTTCAAGACAACAGCTACAGATAATTCACGCTACTGAACATCTGCAACAGCTTCTCAATGAGCTGCTGTAATTGGGGCTCTGCTGTTTGCAAGGACAAAGGCCTCTCACCACACTGGTGTTACTGGAGTTCTTCAGGTGGTTGTGCAGGAGCTTGGTAGCACCATCCTGGAACGTTTTTGGCAAGGCACCAAGTAACATGGTAAACTCAGGAGTGTTCAATTCAAAGAGAGAAATCAGGACTATTTGCGCTGCCTGAAAAGAAGAAGAAAGAAAAGACAATACGTTTTTATTCTTTGAAAAGTGTATGCATTCTGCTGGTAACGATCCTTGCAGTAAACAATGTGTTTCATTCAGACTCTCACCATACTAGACAAATTTTTTTTACATATACTTTATGATGTGTCATAAAGCACTGCTAACTGGTATAGTTAACTTTTTAGTTTTAAGAGCTTACACTATACTTATGCATTTCTATCATTAACTTCTGAGATGTGAAGGAGGGATCAATTCCTGCTTCTGTGTTCCCACCTCTCCTTGCAAGTCTCACCATTGAGGCTGTGTCAGCAACAGAAGACTGCATCTCAAGTGGGAGATCTACTGAGATGGTGAGAACCACCTTTCTCTCATCCATGGATAGGGTAAACCCCACCGGACTCCCTAAATTCAGTAAGTGAAACCAGTGTATCATTAAAAAAATGAGAATTTTATCATAAATTTCACTGGACAGGGTTTACCCTATGTGCCTGGAGGAACAGCTGCCACAACAGGATCTCCACTAACTCCATCAGCAAACATACAGCTCTGCATAGCCTAAACTAAGACAATGGAATCAAACGGGAATGGAAGCAGGATAAATCACAGAGTGCAGATCTGCAAAAGTAATTAACATCACATAACTAGACTTCAGCAGCAGAATAAAACCTATGTGGATTGCATCAATTCTGGGGTCTTTTTACCTGTCTTTGTCTTGAAAATATACAAAAATATAAGAATTGATTAAAAGAACAACAAAAACAAAGCAATGATGAAGGACCTCTGATGGTCTGCAGCACCACCTTCTCCAACTGGGGTGCAGCCATACCAACCTTCCAAATACATATCTGGATACAAAGCAGCAGCTTAGGCTCACAAAGTAAGAAGTAAAACATACTTATGCTCTTATTTTGGACCAGCACACATAAAGACTAAAGAAGAGCAGACAATTGTGTTTGACCTTTCAGGGACTTTCTAAAACTTCCTAAAAATGAAAAAGAACTTTAAAGAGGGTAAAAACATAATTCACTGCTGTGGCAATAACTGTACATCCACTGTTCTCATTGATTCAAAGAAGGAATTTTTAGTAATGTGTGAAGTTGTAATAATTAAGAGTATCTGCAGCTCCCTGTGAAGTGGAATCCTTTAGCAGATGATGAACTTGGGTACACAAAACCCCCTTCATAGTGGAAGGGAATCAAAGAACCTCATTGTTTCAGTGTGCAAATTGCAATTCAAGCTATACTGTTCCTTCTGCTCATCAGCCCCAATTTGCAGTAACACAGATTTGTATATAAAAACATTTTCCATCCATGAACGTTTGATAAGTAACATCCTTTTCATAAGGCCAAAGAAACTGAGGCACATAACACTCAACAGGTTTCCAAGGACTGCAGCAAACAAGAGGTCTTCAGACTCTTCCTTTCAGATGGATCATGCTCCCTCCTGCCAAAACTCTCACTGACTTGAGCAGAAACACAGTAGGTCATTATTCACTTCACACTAAAGATCTAAGGATGAAAGAAGTGGGAAGATAATTTTCCCTGTGGCTTTTTAAACTCCATACTCCACCCTCCTCTGACCTGAAGTTTTGGGCAACTCTGTCATGAAGCCTGCCTAGCATCCAACAAGGACTTATATTTCTGTCCATTTTGATCCAAGAACTTTTAATTTTTCACCAACATAGTATTTTCTCTAACAAAAATATTACTGCAAACAAGAGATCTCAGAACAACAGTCATCATGTTGAGGTGAACGCAAAGTGACAAGTCATGCCAAAGTTCATTCCTATTTGTGAACAGCATGCAAATGCTGGATGGTTAGGAATGGGACATGCAGATCCTCTGTGTCAGAACAAGCAGCTCCCATTCACTGAGATTAAGAAAAAATAAAAAAACACAACAAAAAAAACCCTAAACCCACAGGAAAATTGATCAAGAAGGTTCCCAGGTTGAGAGATTGCTCAGAGATTAGAATACCTAGAGGTATGAACTGATAAGTCAGAAGCTGCCCAAAGTACAGTGAGGTGGGAAAGGATTTCAGATACCTTTGTCCCACATATCTCCCACTGATGAGTTAGAAACAAAGTCATCCTTGGAGACCTCCTAAGTAAACAGAGCAAGACAGGCACAAGGGCACACACGCTCCATGACGTGACATTCTGGAAGTACCGCTCTTGTGTGCCAGAGAGGTCTAAGATGCATCTCACAGATCTGAGCAAAATCTTCACCAAAGTTCCTCCAGGGACTTTGTGATCCTGTGGTTTCCCTTCAAACGCAGAGTTACCCAATTGGTACAGTTTGACCCTGACATGCAAACACTGATCGCACAGACATCGTGCTACAGGAGTATCTCAGGGAAGTTCCAACTCCCAGGTGTCACTTCAATTTTGTTCCATTTTTTTGTTTTGGCTTTAATGAAAACAGGACTGCGCCCACCCTCCCACTTTGCCCAAAGTACAGCCTGTTTGTAGGAGTGTCCATCAGTAGCTCTTCGGTAGCTTTACTGTTTCTTGCAAATAGGTCATTAGGCTTTGAATGGAGCGCTGAACACTCACTCACAATGCTTACTAACTTATGTGGCCTAAAAGAAAGCAGCTCTATAGTCTGCTTTTTGAAATAAAGCCAAGCACTACTATAGCCTGGGAGTGGTGCTCCAGTAAAGCCCTCAGAAGCAACACTGGAGCTACATGGGTGTCTTTTTTAAAAATCCTCAGCTATCCAACTGCACTTTTAGGTTTATTTCAAGCAAGAACCACTATGTGCAAGTTCAGCCACGATTTCCTACTTTAAGATTTAGCTCACAAAGGTCTTGGTTCCTGCTACGATAAAATCAAGAACACTGTTACCACTGACTTCAAAAGCTGGAAGGTCCACGCTAGCTTGAAATCACATTGATAACATGCTCCAAGTTTCACTCTTACAATATTACCCAGTTCTAATACAGCTAATTTTATTTCAGTAATGAAGAATATCAGTTGCAGCATTTCTATACTTGTCTAATAATTAGATCTGGACACACTTGATAATCCTCAAAGTTCCATTTATCTAGCATACATTTATCTAGTCTAAGGACATCTTTTACAGATAATATTTCTAAGAGTTTTAAATCTGTCGACTTCCAGCTCATGACAAAACAGAGGACATGCTCATAATCTCAGACTCACTGGTCATTTCTGAAAACCTTGGCCCTTATTTCATTAGATTACTGAAGGAGTAGATAAATTTAAAACAAGCAATAAAAAGTTATTTCTGTACACAATGTACAAACATTCTCCATGCAGCACTCGTGCTTGATGATATATTGTTTAAAGAGTGTAATATCTGAATTTTCCATTGCCTTTGTGTCCCTGTCCCTGTCCCATTAGTGTGGAACACCAATCCATCTCCTTTCAGTGACATATAACGTAGACCCTACAGATTATCTAATCTTAATGAAGCAGTTCTCTGCTGGCTTGAGCTGGAGAAACTCCAGTGACTTCAGAGCCTGACTATTCTAGTGAGGGGGTCTGGCTCCACGTCAGGTCCTTGAATCATTTGCAAAGGATCACTTATGTAACTTCATTATTTCCCTTATAACAATGCAGCAAAGGATCAGGTTCCACAACCCAGTAGCAGTTCCCAAAGTTTCTCACTTAGGTCAGTGCAATTCATGCTGTCCAACAGTGTCAGCTGACAAAGTGACACAAACGCTTCAGCAACTTTTGTTCTTTGTTTTCACCTACACAGTGGGTGTTGGCCAGATTTATCAAAATCGGTAACCTCTGCAACTTAGTTGAATTATAATAAAGTCTCTTTAAAATGGTTTGGGCAAATTAAGCTAAAAGATCATGACTAACTGGAAAAATTCATTGATTTTTAGAGTGGAAATGTGGTCAGTGACCTAAGCTTAATACAAGCACCTGCCTTATGACTGCTGCTGTCACTGGTCCAACAGACCAAGCAGAATAAGCAGGTAGTTGCCTGAGTTATATCAAAGCAGTTTTCAAGTTACTCAAACTTCTGTTGCCGATGGGCACACAACACTGTCAGCCCCATAGAAGGGGAAGACCTCATATCCTGATTATAAGGTTTATAAGGGACCACAAGTTAGCAGGAAAGCACATCAAAGCCAAAAATTACTCCACAGACACACACGCTTTTTTCAAGCTCCCAGTCAAGGCTGAGACTGCAAATACGATTAGTGTGATTAGTGCACTCGGCTTTTAGTCTACCTGTTTACATTTCTCTTCCAAGTTTCCTTCACCAGGCCCTGAGGAAGCTGTAGTTGTCCTAGCTGGCAAATCCTCACCCATCCAACTATGCATGGTCTGGGTTTGACAAACAGGAAAGTTGATATTATTTAGAGAAAGCATAAATTTCAACTAAATAATATAAATAGTACACATGCTATCTTTTTGCAGAAGAGTTTTAATCAGTTGCTTGCTTAATTTCAAGTAACAAAAAGCATTACTACTGGATTTAACCAGGAGAGCATTCCTTTCAGCAGAGGGCAGCACTGCTTTAAAATTAAATTCAACCACAACTTCAGGCTTGCAGATTATCCTTGGTGCTCCTACGAGACTTTCCTTCAGCAACCTCCTGATGATATTCACAACCACCAGAAATCTCTGCTGAGGTGCAGAGGTTTGGCAGTGCTGCACCAAGGTGGCACCAGGGCTTGCATCTGGGCACCAGTCTGATAGATCAGTACAGTCTACAAATAAATACAGTCAACAGCCTTTTACCATGTTATTGGTCTGGAGAAGATCCACACTAACATCTGCTCACTTTTGACATGTATAATCATACTGGGTATGCATCATTCATTTCACCACCCAGTCTAAGGCAAATGTGGTTTCAATAACTTACGGCACACTGGAACAGAGAAGCTGTCTCTTTCTCTCATCACTTTGAATCATACTAAGCTGCAAATCAAATATGGATCCACTAAGATCGAGAGGCAGCAATGACACATTAGGCAGCTTGTATTAAACACACATTGCACATTGGCACAGGGCA